CGGTCCTCCACCGTGATCGCACGCGAGGGGGACCGCGCGGACGGGCCGGGACGGCTTTGGGAGGGGGGTGGCGCCGCACCTCGGCCGGACACGGGACGACTTTGGGACGGGACCGGACGGCTTCGGGAAGGGGGCTGGAAAAGGGGCTGTGCCGCTGCCTGGCCGGATGTGGGAGGGCGAGGGGGGGGCCGCTCGGGCTTCCTGAGCGGGTTCGAGAGGGGAGTGAGGCCGGCGCGCCCCAAGGGAGGCTCATCGTGCCGGGAGAGGGGCAGCGAGACGGAGCGGGAGGCGGCAGCGAGGGCAAACGGCGGGCCGCGGCGGCGCCGCGTTGGGGGGATGCCGGCGACCGGGAAGCTGCCGCACGAGGCCGGCGGGATATGGGGGCGGGGCACGGATGGCCGGCCCCTGTCGTCCCGCAGGGGCGCCGAGAATTGGCGGCGAGCTCGGGTGAAGGCAATTTGGGGCATCGCAGGGGTGTTGGTCGGCGAGGTCTCCCAATTGCACGTTAATTGCATAAACAGTACAATATGTTGCCTTTTAAGACAAATCGTTCCCCGTTTTCTTTTGGTTGGCAATGGTTATCTTCACTAATGAACGCACACACAGCAGGTGAGATCTACGCATATGCACTCATATCGATGCAAAGTACCTGGTTAAATCAACTCAAAAAAGTGCAGGGTGAGAATGGTGTTCCACATCATGAATAGGTCCATATGTTGCCATACCACACAATGGCAAAAGACTACTTTGGGTTACCGAATATTTTCTTGTTTTTTTCCCTTTTGGTTGTTGGTGGTGATGTGTAGAGGACGCTTACATGCACGCGTCGCTTGTAAACAACTGCAAACGGAAAATTGATATGTACATTAAAACAAAGAACCACATATTATTGGAGAAAAGCACTTCCCAGCTAGTATCCGTCCTCGGAATTATAGTCGAATTCTTCAGACTCCTCTGCTTGTTTTCTGGAATTTTTGCGCTCTAATATCCTCCTCCGACGTGCATCCATGCGTTCCCGCTTGGCCATTTCGCGCATCTCCGCGTCGTAGTCTTTCAGTATCTCGTTGCGAATCACCACCGCGTTCCGCATGATGTACTTCCACTTGACGTAGTTGCTCCCCGTGGCTACCAGCAAGTCGCGCGGGTACAGGCGACCCTTTGGGTTCGTGAGCGCTTCGACCCCCGCCACATCTGCCCCTTCTTTGGTCGGATACCGGACCTTCTCACCGCGCACAAAGAAAAACATACTTGGTGTGCTGTACACCTCTAAAAAGTGAAGCAATTCAACCAGCTGTTTGTGCGCCATGTGGTGAAGTGATGCGCGCTCCTGCTCGGTTGGCGCGCGGCCAGTCATTTTGAAGACGGGAGATGCCGCTATGAGCCGGCGAATATCCGTCTCCTCTTTCATACACGCACACACATGGAAGAAGCGAACGTGACGCCGCTTCTGTACGTCTTGCTCAGATAGGACCAAATTCATTTTGATCTGTTTAAAAAAAGATTCTTGAGGATTATCATCTGCGTTGTCTTCCGTGTCATCATTTTCATCGTCGTCGTCGTCGTCGTACTCCGTCTCATCAAGTCTTTCTTCGCCTGAAAAATGCTTCGGATATGGTACTTTCGTGATGCCGCTATGTCGGCAAAGAGTCGACGTCACTATCACACAGCATAGATTTGCAGGGTCGTCAGCGACTTTTCCCTTGAAATCGTCGAGATTCAACAACAAGGAAATCGTATTTTGTCCAGGTTGCGGTTTTACCCAGTCAATGGGGTCATCGACATCCTCCATTATGCTCCCCTACAACCTTTCACACTTTTTATGACTTCGAACGCTAAAAAGGAAACAAAAGTCTGAGATACGATAGTTACCTCAGCTATTTGCCTTGAATTTAGAATTAAAAAGAAAGCAAAGATGAATACTTTGCATAGTCGCAGGTTTCATTTCTTTTTCACAAACTTCAAAGAAAAGTGCATTAATCTCTGCTTAAAATTATTTAGCGATGCGTAGCCTGCAACTAATGATGTGAGGCAGTTTACTTGTTAAAGAATTAGTTTACACGAATGTGTCCTGTTCCGTGGAGCTGCCAAATTAATGAACAAACGAAAACGGCCCACATATTCCGAGCCTAGAAGAAGAGCATAGGGAAAAGGCGAAGACTAGGTTTTACTTGGCAATTAGAACACCAAACGTGTGAACTTGGAGGGCAAGCCTAAAAACGAGGTTTCCGCCGACGCATGGTATACTTGGAATCTGCGGTAGTGCTAAGACCACGGCTACGTCGTACTTCCTTCTTGAGCAGAACCCATTCTCGTGAGCCGGTAACCGGACGATTATCTTTCCGGCGTCTTTGATCGTGTGAAGAAGCGGAGCGCCGCCGTTTAGCGCGTCGGCCATCACGTCCCCCAACTCGCACCCGATCACGCTGCTCAAGCTCTGTTTGTGAGTCCTCGCTTTCGTCGTCACTTTCGTCGTTGCTATCATCGTCTTCGTCGTCGCTTTCGTCGTCATCGTCGTTTTCGTCTTCAACGTTGCCTGTCAGCGGAGGAGGGGGTACAAAACCGCCGGCGACTTGCCCAGCCTGAAGTACCAGGTAGTACTTCTTCGCCTTGTTGGAATGGGGGTAGTCGACCACAACCCCCCCCCCAAAGCCGCACTTCATAGCCACCCGCGTAATCATGTGCGTCTGCTCGGGATTGCTGGGGTAAAACTGAAAAACCGCCTTCGCGCCACGCCTGAGGGCGTTGTAGAGGCTTTGGAAGAACGCCATAAGTCGTCGCTGTGGGACCTCGCCCTTCTTTGTGCTATGGCATAGCCACTGCAGCACAGAGATGGAAACACACCCATCAAAGCTTCCCGGGCGAAAAGGGATGCCCTGCCCAATATCGTTTTGTATCACCTCCACCATTAACGGCGCCGAGAAAAGGTCGTCCTCTTTATTGCCACCGCCGACAGTGGCTTCGTACTCATCCTCCTCTTCATCCTCCTCCGTGATGAGGCCCCATTTCACAGTACTGGTATCAACACGAGTGGCGCTTCCGCTAAAGTCCATCCCAGATCCCCGCGTGGCCACAGTGCCGGTGTTCCCAAAAAGTCCGTACTTGCTTAGCTCGTTCCTTTTAGCGATCATCAGCATATCTCGGCTAATATCGACACCGCACCAGGCGTGCCCTTGCTCAGTAAGCACCTCCCCGCTAATTCCAGTTCCACATCCAATATCGAGCAGCAACGTTGTGCACGATGGTGGATAGCCTTCGGTTTGTGCTCGCGAGACGGCAGCCTTAATTCCTAGAAGCTCCAACGCCCGAAGCGTCATGGAGCGTTGTATCGTTTGGATACGATTGCTGACATGGTAACGGCTGGCCTCATCACTATTATAATATATATCGGGCGGATTTTCGAACTCAGGACGGGGTGCTGGCATTGAGCACGTTTACCTATTCGTCTTTCTTTTTGGTGATACACTTTTTTTTTCTAGACTAATCTAGCAAATTTCCAAAGATAAACGCTTCTTTAAAGATTTTCTTATAACTCGGATAAAATGAAAGGCAAAAGAGAATCAAATAATCAATCGGTGACCCAAAAGCATCTGTATAAAGACAGTTACAAGCACATGTCATTTTTATTTGCCTCGCTTAGGATGTCTTACAAGGGTTATATCTCAGAAAAGTAGACAAAAAAGCGCATAAAATTTGCCTTAAAGTGATGCAAAGTCCGAGAAATAGCTTTCATAGAAACTTCCATTCCTATTTGGAAGCAGGAACAGTGTGTGTATTGATTCCTGTAACTATAACATTTCATACCCCTATCTTATTTGATTATATAGATATAGATATATATATAGATATACATATATACATATATACATATACATATATTTACATACATGCATACATATAGGCATATACATATATATATATATATTCTTTTTTTTACTTTTTTCTTTACACTCGAGTTATTGCTCTTGTCAATATTATTATTATCATTAATGTATAAAATATGTAGCAAAGTAACGCTTTTCCGATTTGCTACGAAAATGCAGCGCATTCCTTAACGACTGAAAGGGTATTTAAAAAAAGTTTACTTGAACTAAGGATTGATGCGACGGATATAAAGAAAAGATAGCATTTCCATGTAAATTTACTGCTCACTTTAGCTCTGCAATATTTAATGAATTCATAGCGGAGTTAAAACAATGTAAGCGCCACATTCATATTCAACACATTCATATATGGTGTGAAAGATGTGTGTGTGCATGGCACTAACAAGGGAAAACGATGAAAACGGTAAAGTCTTCCCTTTCCTAAAATAAATAAAACAAAGTAAATTACAAAATAAAATAAGAAAGAAAAGAAGAAAGGCAATGTTTGTATAAAGGATATAAAGCTTATAGAAATATTCGAGTCTCCTTCTTCGCTAATATTACATTTTCTCTCTTTAATTTTATTTATGAATTATTAAGGTTAAAATTTAATACTCGAATGCATAAAGTAAGCAATAATAATAAAAAATTTGCCTATGTTTTCCTCACAGTTATTTGGAGAAAAAAAAGTATAATACAACGGTGATAGAACGAGGTAAGTTTAGATGAAACAATAGTATCTATTTGGAGTCATCCATTATAGTTATAGAATTTATTGTGAAATTGTTATGAAGCGTGTGAAATTATACCGGTAAAAAAAGAGACAACGGAAAAAAGAGCAACACGAATTAAGATAAGGAAAGCAAAGCTTACTAGTATAAAAAAAACCCTTTTACTTTAATGCAGTTGCCTTTCCCGCATTCCCGCCTTTCCTCCAAAAGAGAAAAAGAATAAGTGACTGAAGTAAAACAGCCGATTATTATTTTATTGAGCACGTTCGGGTGAGATTGTTTACGATCTTACTCACAACCTCTGATTGTGCGTTTTCCCTCCAGCCACCTAAGGAAAAAGCTTCTCAGAAATAAACGTAGTTTTCCGGAGCAGCAAAGATTGAGTAGAAAAATAGAAGGTCTTTTGTATATACCATTTATTGCGAATTGACATATATAAAAATATATATATAGAAAAGCGTTTAGCTTAAAAGACTTTCGGCATCCTTCAAAAATAGATTGCAGAAAGTGGAAACATACCAAGGAGCATACAGAAAAACTAATATGCGAAATGATAAAAAGCCCTTGTCACAGCTAGAAAAGAACTTCAAAGGTCAATACATAACTATATATATATATACATTTTAAGAAATGACAATCAATGCATGATATACAAGCCGCAGTGATTTCTCAGTTCCGCCTTTCAAAAAATTATCGTTGCTTACAAGCAATTCCCTTACGTTAACTACAATGTACTTTCCTTTTAAAAATCACCATAAATGCGGAAAGTTAAGAGTTTTAAAAAATGGCCAAGGCCCTACTTTGTTGAAAAAATGGAAGAAAAAACATAAGAAATCCTATTAAAATTTTTGATAGCTAATGAAAGGGAGGAAAATAAAAAAAGATTAAAATGATGCTAAGTTACTGCTAACCTTTATTCGAATACTTCTGTAAAACCAGCCCATAGAAAAACACTAGATATATAGCGATATGAATATACGCAAAAAAAAATTGGAGAAAAAACTCGTTTATTTGTTTTCGCACCAAAACTTTTAAACCATCGTGAGCACTACAAACGTTAGAAAAATTTAACTCGGAGGTAAAAATAGAATATGCTTCCCATGGTAATTATAGATGGGAACCACAAAAAAAAAGAGGGCTAGTTTTTTCAAAGCTATTATTCAGCATTTAGGCGTTTAATCGGCAATCAGCTCCCTCTTTATTCGCTATTATTTTCAAGAATGATTTCTTTTTGTGCCCTACTTGAATAATAAAAAAAAGACAGAGAAGGATAAAGTTATGAAACTAATTTAGCCCTAGCTAGTCTCTGTTCCATAGCTGTAAAATATGAAAGCAGGAACAGAAAAAAAGGAAGCTGCTCCTTGCGTGAACCTCTCCCCTCAAAAATTCTTTTCCAAATCCTTTCCGTGTGGGATCATGATTTGGAAGTCATATTAAAGAGAGGAAACAAATAAAAACGTGTAAAAAAACACGTTGTTTCAAACACCAAAACACAAGGAAACTTTTAAGCGAATAGTGCCGGAGAGGGAAAAAAATGTTTTTAAAAGAATACTTCAAACACACACGCACACTGAAAGCTAAGACTACCGATATTAGCCAATTTTTAGTCGAATCGTGAAGGAACCTGTTGATGTTTCTAAGACAAATGCTCCTTTCTCATCTAAGGAACATAGCCTTTATAAATATATAAAATTACGCAAAAACAAAATCCACACAAAGAGAAAATAAGAAGTGTGAATTTTTAAAGTTGGTATATAAACAACCGACAACTGCACACGCCTATGCATATTCGCAGTCCTTTTTCCCTTAAACGGAACTTTGTTTTTTTTCTTACAATATTCTTTTCCTCGCATATCCAATTATTAAAGAAATAAATTGGATTAAATCAAGATAAAAAGCCTCAGAAATCCCCTGAATGCTTTTAGAAAATTCATGTCTATAGACTTTGCCTCAGAACAGTTTTTGTTCCTTCTTTTTTGCTTGAAGCATACTGACATAAGCAGAGTATAGATACTTGATTTCAGTCTTTATGCACTTTTTTTAGTCTTAAATTCACTACTTTTTATGCGACTTTTCGCACGGGGATGGGTCGCCCTTTAGATCGATCCACAGTGTAACCCACAATAGTACTTGTTGATCGACTGCCGAGCTCTTGAATTTTGGAGTTCCACTGGAGCTCGTTCAACGCATTCGATGCGATCGATATGGACATCCAGGAGGCATGGGAGGGGACGTTAAGAGGTGAAGTCGCCTTCCTGAGATCGCCTGGGATGATGTCCGTCGCCGTCCTCGTGGATGAGATCGGCATTGGCCTCCACACATCGCAGCAGCTGCTCGGTTCGTCCAGCGGCGACGTATCGTAGAGGGTGGGGAGTAAATGTAAAGAAGTGTTATGCAAGTCGCTGAGCGGGGTTAGGGTCTTTTTAAACCCCCCCACACGAGACGACGCGCTCGAATCGACGGTCCCGCTGGGGTCCGCATCCGAGTACGACGCCAGGAAGCCGTCCATAGGAGTGCAGGGGCTGTGGAGCAGGCTGAGACTGTAGGGGTCGTGGCGGGATACCATAACCGACTTGAGCTCCAACTTCTTCGGCAGGACGGGGGTTCGTTGGTGGGGCTTCGGGCCGCTGAGTGGGGCCGCCGCGCCCATCACGGGCCGCTGAGAAGGCTGGAAACCCGCCTCCGGAATCGCAGCTGGGTTCGTGGTGCGGGACCTCACCTGGTTTTTAGAGGTGATGTGCAAGGAATTACCATTTAGGATGTTAGCCGCGTTATCGACGGCTGTTGTGCAATCAGATAGAGAGCAGTTTGTGATCATCCGACTCATTATGATAAAATAGGGGTTCGATATTTTTTCGAAATCGAAATACTTCTTCCGGATTATTTTGGGAAAAAACACGAGCGTTAAACAAAAAAACAATAATTAATCTTTTCAATATATTTGAAAAAACTTGTGATGTCAAATAAATGAAGAGGAACAATTAGATAGGCAAAAAGAGTGATTCCGTAGAGTTCATAAAACTAAAACACAAGGTTAAGAATCCCATTGGCACCCGGGCTGTGCCACTCCAGACATGCAGGCTTTTTGTTCTTGCAGCATTGATGATTTATTGATTTTTTTTTTCAAATACATCAGATTCGTTAGAGTTCCCATTAATTTGGCCGTTTCCTAGCTCCTGAGCCTGAGGCTCTAAATTGGATTCAGGGCACGTTAACTTCCTCGTCAGTCGCGTCAGCAAAACCGCTACAATAGATGAGAACATCAAGCCCAGAATAAACGCATTAAATACCATCGATGCATCGGGTTCGGGAATAAATACCCCAGATGCGGACGCCGCGCGCACACCATATTGGCAACGACAGGTACTCGCATCGCTAAGCGCCGAATTGGCGGGGCCCTCACCCGCAGCACATGCGTTGATGTACGTCGAAACCTGGGGTGGCCTTCGCAGCACCTGCAGAAGCCCCGAGAGAGCGTCCATGTGGGTGACCTCGAAAAAGACGTCCTCGTGTTGGCAAACCACCGAGCACTCCATGGTGTTGTCATTCGTCTCCGCCCGCTCGACCTCGCGTTCGATGATGACGACCGGCTGCGGAATGACGCGATAGCTGTTCGGGTTCCGCGGCATCTCCTTCAGACCCGTCCAGCCGTTATAAAACGGAAAGCGCGCCAACAGCACACCCATCGACTCCAATGACTCCCCCACCCAATTCCCGCAATCCCGCGTTCGCTCCGCCGCTCGCTCAAACAAGGAGCGATAGACTTCAACGTGGAGAGAAGTAATATTGGTCTTGAGCAATACTGTAAGCGTGTTCGTACCTACATCTACCATGTAATTTTCCACCTCCGTGGACCCGTTCAGCGACTCCAGATTGTACAAAAGAGGCCGCACGAGGTGGAGGGGGAAAAATACTAACGCATATAGAACATCGCCTTTCTTAAAGGGCATAGGCACAAGATCCAGCTGATCAAGGAAGGTTTTGCTAGACTGCCTTGATATCTCGCACGCAGAAAGAAGCAGCGAAGGCTGCAGTGCTACCACCAAATATCCATGATCCTTACCCATTGGACGGAAGTTATATTGCACCTCGGGTCGACTTAAATACTTCGCCAAGCTCAGTGCGTCTCCGCCCTCTTTCAACGACCTCCTGGCGAATCTGGGGAGCACCTCTATAGGCTTCGCCGCTTCCTTGTTGATAGGGAAGAGACGCCTGATCTTGCGGCGCTTGATGGGCAGCGCCGACTTAAGGGAAAGTGGCATCCCCCCGTGCCCGACGTAAAGGCGGAAGCCCCTTTGATGAGCGTACGGTTGCAGCGTACTCAGCCAGTGCTCAGCCATTCGTTTGATTAGCGTTACATCGGAAAGGACAAAAGACATTTGAGTATGAACGCGCAGCTCCACCTCACCGGGTTCCCCTGTGCTCCCAGGCCGCAACCACTGCTTTGCGCGAAGGTGCACATGAGCAAAAGGGGACGAGAAAAAGTCATTCAGAGAGGGTATGACAGCCCTGAAGATCCCTTCGGGCAAACCGTCCGTCACGCCATCAAGGCGGCGACCACCGTTCAGCAAGGAATTCACGTGTTGAGAGCAGACGATATCATGGTAGACCATATGATAGGAACACCAGCTGCCTCTTGGGTTCTCCGAACCGCTCACGTTTGTCGGAAATCGTGCAGAGTCTGAAGAACGCTCGTAAATCATACCGCTTGGGCGGATGTGGCGTGGCGTCTTATCAGTCCAACCCAGTGGAGAGGATAAGAGCGTCGACATGAACTGCTGCACCCACTTAAATTGGCGAGCAGGGCTCTCTATACCACTGTGCGCACAAAAAGAAAAGCTTGAGGTAGAGCAGACATCGTGATGGGATAACATATATCGTAGATAGTCAAAGGTGTGCTCGTGGGGGACATGGCGGCCGGAATCCTCACCACTGGTGAGGTTTTGTTTGCCTTCGAAGAAAAGATCTGTTTCATTCACTTCATATGGAATTGGTGAGGACCACTCCGGCCGCCACTGCCCACTGCATGCGGCCCATTCCAGGTTCTCAAACCCACGGTTTAAAAAGACATAAAACCAAAGCGGATCGAAACTGCCGTCAAACGCGAGATTTTCAGGGATGGAAGCATCGACCGAGCCGTGCTTAAGTGGGAGAAAAACCGAACGCTCCTCGGTGACGGATACCAAAACAACGTCCTTATCGACCTCGTCTAGGCTGTGGCTGAGGCAACCGACGTGCAGGGTATGCTGCTGCCGCGTACGCGGGAAAAACGCGCCACCGCTGCCCTCCTCGCCCAGCACGCAAAGGCAAAGACAGAGGCAGAAACAGAGCGAAAGGCAAAGCAGAGCGAGACGCGGGATGGGAAGCCTTTCGCTGCGACCGCGCATCATTCGTGGCTCGTGGGATGAACGAAAAGGATGCGCACACGAAAAGATACGAGCAGCGAGCCAGTCCCACTAATATATATATATATATATATTGCAGCTTTGAGGCCTTGGTGCTGCTTAAGCAATGACTATGAGTTTTCCTGGAACGAAATATTTGAAGGGAAGATGGGAAAATAAATATATAGCAAAAAGGAAAGAAAGTCCAATCAAACTAATGAATTACACAAAAAAATTTCTAACAAATCCTAACAAGGCTTATAACAGTATAAACATCTACTCCTATCAATTGCCCCTTAGTCGTTTGTAAAAAGAACAATAGGATTGCAATAAGCTTTTATTACTTTCTTGCTAATTAGACTATCGATGAATACAATTCATTACATTTTTCTTTTTATTTACAGAAATTTAAGGAGAATATTAAGTAGACTTCAAAGACTAAATATCCAAATACTGACTTTATAACTTTAAAACTTAGACCCACACTTATTCCCTATTACTCTCTTTGTTTTGGAATGGAATTGTAAATCATGCCAAATAAAGTTCAACCTCCAAGAAAATGCAAATGACAATCTGGAGAGCATATCTATGATTTATGATGAACTTTTTAAAAATATGAATCCCCTATCCGTATAAAACTCTTAAGTTATCGGTTTCCTGTCATTTTAACTTTGAGTGCAAAGTTCCAAAAAGGAAACGATAAAGACACCTATCACCTTAGTAATAAAATAGCAGGGAACTGAAAAAAATATACAACAAGTATTAAAACATGAACTTTTGAAAATTCTAAAACATTTTTAATAAGCTAATTAACTAAGAAAGATCTGTATGACTCTTTGTTAAAACCGTCGAGAGAAGCAATTGGGGACTAGGCTATGGTTGAAAATGGGGTATACCAATTCTCCAACACCAGCGGTGGCATGCCTTCCTCATGGTTCTACAAATTATCTACACATTAGCCTGTTAATGATCCAGAAACCTGTAACAGAGAAACCAAATGGTTAAACCCTCTCATGCCTCATACGAATGCATAAGGAGGAAAGTCCCGCAAGTTTACCTTTTTGTGAGGTTTCGAAAAAGTGGCAGGACAAGCCTCTAGGAATCACACATTCTACAGTTAAAAGAGGAAAGCTACTATTAGCAAGAAAACAGCACCATCGGGAGATATTTAGCCTCTATCCCAGATGCTCATATATATATATATATATATAGATATATAGATATAAGGTTGTCAAATATAGATTAGATAAAAAGATTATAATCCTTGATGTTATCAACTCAACATCTATAAGATAGAAAACCTGGCCTTTCAATAGTTGAATTCTATTCAAGTGCCAGAAAAAAAACTCACAGCATTTTCATCTTATTTTGCCAGCATTTTTATTCAGTTACATATAGAATCAGGTTCATTCAGAGTCCAAGGATCAAATGAAAGCATATAGGATAGCCCCAACCGCCGGAAAATTATCCGCCGTGGGTGGTGATCCCATTTCCCACGATGGAGGTGTTCAACCCTACCCGAAAGCACTTGGTTGGAGGCCTTGAACGTGATCTTGTCGTTCCTTCCCGATCACCATGACGTCCGGATTGGCGTCCCCTGCCGCACCGGGAGCGTCCGCGTCAACGAGCACCGGCAGCCGTGTATCATTCCGCACCGTCAGCGGCAACAGGATCGCGCAACTAGTGATGTGAAAGCAGAAGGTGACGATAAACGCCCCGCCGTAGCCCCAGCGATCCGCGAGAAAACCACCTAGGAAGGCGGTGCCGGACCACCCCGCGGATTGGATCGATTCGATCGCGTTCCACCGGCCGTGGCGGTGCTCCGGCACGACATCCATCACGAGCGCGCGGGAGAGCCCCGCGGAGCAGTTCATCAACGCCCCACGGAGGACGTAGGCGATGCACATCAGCCCTTTCGTCGCGTGCCTTGTCCCGCGGGCGAGCGCCATCCACAGCAAAATCCCCGACGCGATCAGTTTGGGGGGAAGAATCGTCCGCACACGGCCGTAGCGCTGTGCGATCACCCCGCAGAGGATCCCCATCCCCATGATAATGATGGAGTTGAAGAGGTTGAGGGTCGCCATCTCGAGCGGGTTCACGTCGTAGATCTTCATCATGAACAGCACAAAATACTGCACCGTCATACCACTCCCAAAAATGGTGATCACGTCGAAAAGCACCAAAATGTAGGGGTAATACTTGAGCGGAATCCACAGGAGAATTTTCTTGCGCCACCCTCTCGCCTCCTCCGCCTCGATGTCGACATAGCGTAGCCTTCGCACAGGCCTCGAGTTAGGTTCATTTTTTTTGTCCTCTCCAGTATACTGGGGGTCTGAACGAAGGGGTTTGGTATGGTCGTCTTCAGTCCACAATCGTTGCGCAGAAATCGGTGAGCTTTCGTCGTTGTAGTCTCTCTCCCCTCGGGATGCGCTAGGAGGGGAAGGGGGTCGGTGAAACGATTCATTACGCATCCTCACACACTTCCCCCCCTCAGAGTTGGCAGGAGCGGCGTCTGAACGCCCATGGGAACCTACGAAGCTGCGATTGACCCCACCAGCCTCGTTCAAATCCGGACGAACAGGAAGAGTGAGTTGGTTTGAAGAAATCTTAATGGGGATCTCATGGTTATCGACGGCGACGCGCTCGCCCTCTTGCGCACAACACTCCCGCCTAGATGAGAGGTCCTCGTCGTCAACCTGACTACCACCTTGCTCGTACCCTGACGTCTTACTACCCTCGCTATTTGACGTATTGCCATATACTACGACATTCTTCCCTTCCGGAGTGGTCGGCTTGCCAAATTTATAGGGAAGTGGCTTAAAGGTGGACAGAAAAACTAGCACAGATGCGATGTTCAGGCATAGCCCACTTGTCATAACCCACTGCAGCACCGCCAAATCCCACTCGTTGCCCATGAGGACGAAGAGAATCATGATCAAGCAAAGCCCGGTAATAGGCCCTGCTGCCTCAAAACTAAACTTGACGCCGTAAAGCCAGTCGCGATCTCCCGTACGTAAACACTGCGCAAAGACAGACTCAACGCAGGTAAAGCCAAAGCCCATGTAGGCGCCTTCTAAGAACTGGGCGAATTGCATCACATATAAATTCATCGACCAGACTCCAATCAAAATAGTGGTGAGCGCGAGTATACCGAGGAACTGGGCAAACTGCAAGGTTCGCGAGGGCCCCCACACCTTATCCGCGATGTACCCACTCACAACCGCCATGCACATCTCAGCGACCCCGTTGATCGCAGCCATCAGCCCTACCAGAAAGTTACTTTCCCCGAAGGCTGTGAAGATAAAAGGCGCCCACACGTTGTTATACCATACCGAGAGAGCTACACTATTAACGAATACGAATAAAATGATTCTACTGGCTTCCGATTCGGAAACGGGCGGTATGTCGAGGACCCGCCTTATTTTCTTCAGTACTAGGGAAATTGGATTTATCATCAAATTTGGTTTTAAAGGTAACGAAACCTGTTATTCGTCAGAACGTGTGAGAGGTAATATATTTTTTAAAGAACCTTCAAATGATTTGTAGGTAACAATAAACTTGCAGTAAACAGAATATTACAAGTGTATACAATTTATGAGTCCTTCCTTGGTCAGATAGAAAGGAAAAAACGTCTCACAATTGGGGGGGAAAGGATCAGTATTAAATTAAAATTGAGAGAGAGACAAACAAAATAGAAACACTTTGATAATAGTAATGCAGATATAAATATATATGAGTGTGTGTGCGCGATTTTTTAGAATACGTCCCGGCAAAAATAAAAGGCATATCGGCATGACTGTCATGTCACCCCACTGATGGAAGAGGACGCGTAATCAAATCCTTAAAGAGGAATACGTCCCTTCCCACGCAGCCTCCCCCCTAGCACGCCTCATAATAGTCAGGCGAGAGTAAAAGTGATGCCAATAGCCAACACTAAATCACGCTGACCAAAGATTTTTGCCGCCACAACTGCTCGCAAAATGTCAAAGGATGGAATAATTCCTCCGCTGACGCCACGGAGAAGCTCTCATGAAACTTGGAATGCCATCTTTTTTCCGGGTATTTACGTTTTGGGAGCCGGTTCGGGTTTTTCACGCTTAATGGTGGTGCTTTATGGCACAGCGTGGCGGTCTGCTTAAAGCGCTCGCGCGAGGCCCACAGGAATAGCGCCTCGCTATCGCATTCTTCCACCATAAAGGCGTAAAACGCGGCGCGCGCGGCCTCGTCCGATCCGGCGTATCGCCCCACTAACCACCCCTCCTGCGATCCCTCTGACAGCGCGAGACGCTCATGGCAAGCAAGGAACGATCTGGGATCCGCCTCCGCCAAGCAAGACGCGTAAATCGACAACGGCTCCGCTTGATGAAGGTGTTTTTGGGAACCTTTGGGGGGATAAAAGAAGGAGGAAGGATCCAGCATTGCCGATGCGTCGAGGTGATGTTTCGAGGAACTTGCGGCGTAGATACACCCATAAATAGGCTCGATGCTAAGCAAAATCAGGAAAAAGGATATCACTGCGACAAAGCAGTTAAACACACGTCGTCGAAAATGAACCCACTCTTCTGAGTACACGATGCTAGGCCCCCTTTGTTCTCTCGCAGAACCGACGAGTAAACCAATGTGCTGTATGAAAGACGAAGCACCCATACGCCGCGCTACATAAAGGATTAATTCAAAGAGGGCAATTTCGACTGCCATAAAGAAGAACTCGCTGATGCTTCGAATTGAATGATCACCGTTCTCAAACATCATCAGACCCTCCTCACCGAACCGGTTGTATATGGAACGCGAGGTGGAATCCTTGAGAACCTCATAACTTCTAGAAACGATTTGAAAAGCTTTTTTTACCTCTTCACTGTTGTCCAGGTTTTTGTCGGGGTGAAGTTTTAGGCTAAGTTTGTAGTAGCTCCGTCGAATGGCCGACAGGCTCGCATCCTTGTTGACCTGCAGAACGTCGTAATAGTCCTTAGAACTGTTTAGGATTCGCTCTATCAGCTCCTGGTCATTCATTACTAACTTCAACAGCAAAATGCAATGTATTACTCGACTTTTTATTTCAATCAAAAATGAGTTTAAAAGTAGAAAGGGCCTCCCCCTCGACGGTTATTAGCAACTTCCGTGGCTTGCGTACACACGTAAGGGATAAGGTGGAAACTGAAAAGAGTGAACACAGGGTGATTCTAAAGGGTAAAAAAAAGACTCATGCATAGCTTTTCGGAAAAAAATATATAAAGTTTCTTTTAAATACCAGTCCAGCATATAGTACTAATGATAGATACTACCGAAGGTTTAGGTGTATCTTGTCTTATTTATTGCAGTGTTAGTTATTATTCAATACCAAAACTTTGTTATAAACAAACCCATACCGCCTCACGACTTCTGATCCAAAGCCATTGCCACACGCATCACTACATTCTTGAACTTATAGTCGCGCCGCTTAAAAGTCCGTTCAGCCATAGAAGCATCACTGAATGTGATGAAAGCAAACCCCTTATTCTGTTTCGTATCCCTATCACGTGGCAGATAGATCCGCTCGACAACACAATTGTTTTCACTGAAGATCGCTCGCAGATTTTCCTCTGTGATGTTATCGCCGACGTTGGTAACGCGCACACGTCGTTTGAAGTCCTGCGTATCGCGCTCTTTCGGCGCGCTCGTCCGGTTCGATCCCCAGGTCGTCTCCCCGTTGCTAGAATCCACCTTCGAGGCCTTCGCCGCCTCGGCCTGCCGCTTGAGATTCTCCTCCTTCACGATGATTTGCAAGTGCAAATCGGGCACCTTAACGTCGGTGTTGCTCACCTCATTCATGAAGCGCTTCACCTCGTTTCTACTCTCACGCTCGAACTGATCTACAGAACCGAGCTCCAGCGCTAGTGGGGCCTCCTTCGAGACAATTTGGGACTGATCCGAAGTCCCTTTGCCGAAGCGCTTAAACGCCGCACGAATATCCACCTCAGTGATAGGGCGATCTACGTGATATTGCCGGACTTTCTTAATCACCTCGAATTGGTTGCCATCCATATCCGCCTCGACCTCACGGACCAACTTGGCATCCGCCCATAGCTCCTCCTCATTGATAAAGTCTTCCTCTTCCTCCTCCAGTTCGTCCTCCTCGTCGTCGTAGAAATCATTCTCCCTGCCGTCCTTGTAAATCACGTCCTCCTCTACTCCTTCAGCCCAATTAGACATTTTAACCGAGTGTTGTTATCCAAAAATCCTAATAATACCTTCAAGGTAAAAAAAATATTTTAGAAGGAAAAAATTCTCGCAGATTGGACACACTTGAGGGAAAATGAATCACCAATAAGAAATGATAACCATGGAGCTAGCTAAGGATGGATGGAATCAAGAATGACTTCAACCAAAGCCGAGAATAGAATGGCTTGGGTTTAAAATATTTCCAGAATAAAAGCACCATTCGCCATCAAGAAATGTTTAAACTGTAGGTGGAAGACCAAAAAAAGAGATGAATCCTACCTAGCTGACTTAGGCATTAGCAGCTTTCAACTTTCTCTTTTTCATACATAGCACCTCTTTCTGAAGTGTTCTCATTCCGCACAGAAAGGGAAGAAGAATGCATGTATGAAAGATTAGCACACAATGTTTGCCGTCACCGCTATGTTATGCAAGAAGTCAAGCTCCAGTAGAAGCGTCGATGAGGGTGTGAGGAATGACGTAAGGTGCTGTGTTTACCCCTTACGTTAGCTCTCCTCCTCTCCCTTCTCTTAACGGTGAAAATGTCAATGACAACAATGATGATGACGATACATCGTGGTTGCAGTGGATTATGAAAAATATGGCGATAATCCTGCACGCAAGCATAGTAAAGGGTGCCCTATTGCAAAGTTAAGCGTAGGTATGAAGAAAGAGGTGCATAGACATTCGATTTGGGGTGCGCAGTCATGGGTTTTGAACTGACTTGAGCAATGGACGTAGCCCTGCGTTATTGCTGCTGCTTTGTTAAACAACGCCCCACAGGAGGAGCTATCCAACGTCAGCCGACGATTGCTCTTTCAACATATAGTAGTCACCACGATACTATCAACCGCTTCTTCTTCACCGCTACTGGACTAAGGAGGTCGCCTCACGGGTCGCGTTGATCCTTGGCTCCCCACTCAACAAAGCACTTATTTCAGTGGAAAACAACAGAAAGCGTCGACGAAGTTTTTCTAAACGACGGAATATTGTTGTCACCAATTGCTCCCTGCGGTCATCGCTAAGCCCACATTCGTCCTGCGATGCCTCCCGCTTCGCCGCGTCTATCGGTAAGGAATGTTGGCTTGATCAATAGAAGATCCCTTTCGCATCACGACGTCGTCAATCGATGACGGCGCGCTGAGTCTCCTCACACGTCATTTAGGTTTTAGCCGGAACCCAGATGCGGACGATGGAGTCGGCGCTGGTCGTCGCGATGATCGGGTAGTTGCCGGACTTATAGACGGCGGCGCCTGTTACGCGATCCCGGTGCCCCTCTAAATACTCCAACACCTCCGTACTGCCCTCCTCGGTGACGTCAAAGACGGTGGCTTTGTTATCCGGCCCCCCGGCCACGACCAGGTCGGACTCCATCACCCGCCGAATCACCGGCATCTCCGCATCCTTCTCCTCGTCGTCAAGGAAGGTAGGAAGCTGCGACTTGCCCTTCCGTCCACGCCAAAACCCGCAGCGCAGCGCAAACCCGCGCGAAAGGACGTTCGGCAGGACGTTGCACAGGTGGTAAGGTTCACTCCCCCGCGCCGCACGGAGGCTCTCGCGGTAGACGCGGACGATGTTGTCATCCGACGCGCTCAACAACCACCGCGCACCGTCGGTGCTGGAGAAATAGGCGAGGTGGGAGATCGAGGAGCGGGAGGGGTCGTTTAACCACGTCTCCAACGGCCGCGTTGGCGACGGCGCTATCGGCGCGGCATCGCGATCCGACCAGTGAAAACTGCTGTTATTCGCAAATGAGTCTGCCGGAAGAGAGGGGGGG